TCTTCCTTCTAATGACACTTAAGACATGCAACCATCGGTTTACGAATCAACAACTTTTAATCACACCGTGTGGAACAACATATTGGATACCACAATGTGACGAATCAATCAGGCCTTATCGAGGACAAAGATTCCGCAAGTTGTGCGGTGAAATAGCAGGCCATAACACACGAACATGTCCCAAGAAGCAACAGGCGTTCAAATCAAATGCTACCGAGGTAAATGCACAAATAGTTGTTTGATACTCTAACATCGATATTAGGCATACTTGCGTTTGTCTTCGTGTGCCATTTTTTACAAATTATGCATATATAAAGTCTTATAATATAATTCCTTTACAACATGCCTCTATATACATACGTCAACATCTTATATCGCTATTCATTAGTCGTATGTATTTATTAACAGTATGTGTGTATTCGTACAATAGGGTAATGCATATTAAATGTGATGTATGAATATTAACATATACAAAAAAATTACGTGCAGACACAGACGACAAGAGGTTGATGGGGCTTCATCTCGGAGCAAATATTACGATTGGACATTTGGTTTAATGTTATTTTTATTTGGATTCTTATTTTATTCTTTATCTGGAAAAGGTAGAGACATCTGGTTGTTTGTTTGGCGAATATTGCTCTATGTAGCACTCGGTCGTTGTCGTGAATTTTACGACAATCAATTTAATGTTACTCTCTTGTTTNTGTTGACTGATAATTACTATGTGTGTCAGTGTGTCATTATACGGTTTTTGGTGGGCACAACGACCACGAATACAATATGTATATTGCACTTTTTTTGGATATTATGTTGCACTTTACTGAACACTACGTTGCACTTCTCTGAACATCGCGTTGCATTTTTCATCATATATGATTGCACATCGTGAATATTAGTCCGGAAAAGGACGTGTTACAATATGAAAGATGGAGTCGACGCGTGAAATGTGTTGGATGGCGATTCGAATAGGTGTTGATACCATACGGATCTTAAAGACCGATATAGTGTGTGACCCCGTATATGTACGCAATTACAAAACCATTCGCTATAACGACCTAATACACGTTTTGCTGTTTTGCTGATGAAAAAATACAATAATATTGAATGTTCTTGCAACAAATTGATATCGCAACAATCACACATCTGACAACCTAAGCTACAGTAATGCACTTTATATATTGTCACATTGCATAATATAAAACACACCGTTGCACTTTATAAAATATTTTGTAGTACTTTATCGACACACTCCACAAATAACGTCGATAGCTCCATCCAATAATCCACAACCCTTAAACCGGAAACCTGTTCTACATAATATTTTATAATCGCATAACGTCGTTCATCC